ATTCACAAACAAAATGCCATTCTGCAGATTTACCTCCAGAAGGTCCCCGCGGTCCTTGGACGCCACCCTGAACAGGCGGGGCACCAGCTCCGCCATCTCCAGCCCCAGGTCCTGCGCGATGCGGCCCACGAAGGTGCCGTGCTTGGCCTCCTCGGGGACGGAATAGTGGAGCTGGCCGCTCCCTGCCTCCCAGGCTGCGAGGAGCAGGAGTGAGAGCAGCAGACACCGTGTTCCCAGTCTGCCTTCAGTGGTAAAATCCATGTCAAATGCTTCTTGCTTTATTTCCATTAGAAGATTATTTTCTCTGCATAGAATTCGGTATGACTCCAAGTCTATCAATTCAGTTCTTCTGCATTCGCCATCATTCAGCAGTCATGGAAAGATTCAGCAACCAGAAGAAAGGGCTTTGTGTGCTGGCTAGATGTGACTCCGTGGTAGACAGCGACACCATGCGGCTCCAAAGGGTAAGAGACGAATTTGTATAACTTCACTTACCTTGATAGTAAATCCTCCAGCTGTTTATAATTTTCAGGGCCAATTCTTCTCGTATGATTTTTTTTTTTTTTTGGTAATTTAGAGTGAGCATGGTCTTTAATGATTCACGGGGAAACAACATTCTTAACAATATTTTAAACCTTTTCGTCACCCAATTTAGAAATATAAAGTGTGGGAAAATGCAATCTTGGAAGTTAGAAGGTGAGCAATTCTCCATAACTTGGGTATATAATTAATTTATCCATATATTTCTTTCATGCCAAATATATACATTTTCTTAATTGAAAAGAATTTTTAATTGTCTAAATTTTTAAATCTTAAAAGATTGTTGATGTTATTGTTACTTTGATCACAAATATCACACAGGCTTATGGTTCCTTCGTGTGATATTGAGCAGTTTTAATGCATAGTGGTGTGCAACATTTTAAATTTGTATGTTTTCTCACTGAAGATCAGGTTCACCTTAAACTGTGCATCCCAGGATGACCTCAAGCTCAAAAGATTTGCATCTCACAATTGAGATTAGTGAGTAGGATACAGGAATGTGCCGCTGAAACTAACTCCACAGCATTTCCCCATTAATGTTCAGTTTATATTGATAATTTCCCTATGTATATCTCGCCACATGAATTTCTGCTGGAAATGATTCCTGTTGTGTTTTGTTGCTCTCTTCTGCTGTTCCTAAAGACTTTATCTTTTTCTCTAAACCTCTACTCCATACTATATTCTTTTTTTTTATTTTTCAAGACAGGGTTTCTCTGTGTAACCGTTCTAGCTGTCCTGGAACTCGATTTGTAGACCAGGCTGGCCTCAAACTCACAGAGATCCACCTGCCTCTGCCTTCCAAGTGCTAGAATTAAAGGCGTGCACCACCACCACCTGGCTTTATATTATTTACCTTTACAGGGCCTCATCTTCTCCTACATCTCAAGTGATATCTTTCTGAACATTCCCAACCCACATCCGCATCTCCCTTCCCATGTTTATGTCAATGTCATTAATATATGCTGACTCCTAGAAAGCAATTTGTGTAACATAAAAGCATTGCTAGTAATTATTAGTAAATTCAAGGCTTGGAAATTAACATTTTGTTTTAATGACAAACATTCTCTATATCACCTATAGTAATTTTTTTATTTTTAGTTCTGTCTCCTCACTGATCTTATTCAAAGTCAGTCCATAGTTTCTCTTCACATATACCACATTTATCTTTATGAGTATAAATTTCATTAAATTCTAAAACTAGAAAATTAATATTAGAATTACTTCTAGGTGACTTAGAGCTTGATCATAAGCCAACTTCTCATTTTAACCATAACAACATTTTCTGTTTCTCAAAAGTTTCTCCTTGTTAACAAATACTTTTACTATTTTGTAAGGAATGTATTTTATACAGCACCTTCAGTATGTGGTTAGTTTCTAGGAATATATTGCTGATTATAAATGCATAAGCCAAATAATTATTTTCAATTATTCTTCAATATGGATCATATCTTGTAGAGAATATAGGATATTTGCAATCTCTTCCTAAAAACGGTCTTTGCTTAAACTTGTTTTTTCTTGGCTGAGGATTGAACTCAAGGCCTTGAGTTAGTGCTCTACCACTGTGAAGGACCCTCAGCCTAAGGTGGGCTTTTCATACTTTCATCTTTTCCTGTAAAAATATTAACATCATACATTAAAGGCGGGCCAAATACAAACTTTACCATTACTTCATCCTTAGTGTCACCAGCTGCAGATGATTGAACTTCTTTTCAAACGTAAGTGCAATTCACCAGTTAAGATTTTTTGAATGAGGCATAATATCCCACCTTCTTCCACTATTCTGGCATGCATTAGCTCTCATAATGATAATACAAAGCTCTCCCTTTTGTGAGATGCTATCTTCAAATAATTAACCCAGATTTATTTGACATTTTTCCCCACAGACTTTCCATTACAGTAATTTTTTGTGAACAAAAAAGTCATTGGCTAACCAATAATAAACCCATAGAAGGAGAAGTTCTTTACTTAGAATAATATAAGCCTCTCATAAAATACATATTGATCTAGTCTTTTTGTCAAAGGTTTTCTACAGTAACTAATACATGTATATTAGTCTAAGGAAAGTGTACTTCCTACAGGAAACTTCAACTGGTAAAAATTAAACATTAACATCATATTTACTTTTCATTGTAATTCTTCAAAGTTTCCTGAAGTTTAGTAATACAACCCAACTGGAATTGTTGTAATAATCTTATTGGGTCCAGGTTTTAAAAAGTTATAAAACATTATTGAAATCCTCTACGTAAAATAAATTTATATGGAAAGGGAAAATGTTGCTCTTTTGCTGACAAACAGCTTACAGCATCTCAATTTTATTTATTCAAATAGTTTATTCAAGTATTCAAGTTGAGGGAAACAATTATATGAAAAGATGATTAGTTGATCTCTTTATAAACAAATAGCTCCCTCCTCCACCAAGAAAATTTTATATAAATTGTATAAAACCATAAGTTTATGTTTCAAAACTAAATTAACCAGATTTTTTTAAGTTGGTAGGTGTTTGCAATAAACTAATGCTGTAGCAAAAGCTATTCTCAATTCTAAGACCTCCCTAGAGCTGATCACTATATTATAAATATCCAAATAGCAAGCTAGAAGGGGTAAATAAAGTAAATGCAAATGTGAATTTTAAAAATCAGCAATGCAAGAAAGGAGTTCTAACATTTCCTATACTAGGTATGTAGTGGTTATTACCTGTTGAGCCCACATGCTTGCCCAAAACACACAAAAAAAGAGGAGCAAGACAGTTTTTAGTTTTCAATGGCAAAGACACTCACCTATGGTAGACTACAATGTTTGAAAACAATGAACAGAAGAGAAGAGTCTTTATAATAGTAAATTTATGTTATTTCCTAAGCTGAAAATGTAAAGCAATAAACAGTATGTTCCCTGACCAAATATGTTGGGATTTTCAGAGCTGGCGTACTTCTCAGTACAAATAATTTAAAGTGGAACAGTACCCAAGTTTCTGAGAAATTACATCATTGATCCTCCAAATTCCAATGTTATATTTTGAGGGGAAATGAATTATTCTATATCCACACAATGCTCTGTTATGGGAATGAAAAGAAAATTTTTAACTGTACTCCTTTGTGTTATAAGAACTCTAAACAATAGTTATGTATATTCAAGTGAAAACACTACTAAAATGAAAATTTTAACAATAAAGTTTTTAATTATAAAACCATAGGTGTGAAAATCTATCTAGAAAAAGATTTAATTATTTAGTACAGAAATATGACTGAAAAAGAAATTAAACTTTTATATAAAAATAAAACAATTGTAAAATCTGAAATTTTAAAATCTTAATATAACAATATCATTGAAGGGAAAAGTAATCTGAAGCATTTAAATCTCTCAAATGTCTTCCTACAATATCAAAAATAAAGTATCCTCTTTTATTTTAAGAGGGACAAAACATGGCAAAACCATAATCAAACCATTATCATCTGGATAACTCTTAAATTATAAAGTTTTGCAGGCAGAGCAAGGTGTATTGTGTATAAAAGCACTGAGGTGCAGCTTTAATATGTTATTAAACAAGCATTGTTTTAAAAATAAATAAAAAAAACAATTATATCAGAGACTATGGGGGTCCACCCCCTCAATAGTCCCCTCCCAGGATCTGGGAAGAATCTACAACCAGCTGATAATTAATCTTTGATGAAAAGAAATAAATCTATGTATATGAAACTCCTTAGTCCATACACTTTATTATTCTGTGTGAGTTCTCTCTCTACAAGCTTCTATTCTGCTCTCATGCCTAGCTCCTTTCTTGCCTGATTTCTCTCTATGCTTATCTACTGCTCCCTCTAGGTTCTATCTTAATTCTCCTGTCTTAATTCTGCCTCATCTAGGTCCTTTTCATTTCGTTCTTACCCAGCTAGTACTTCCCCATCTGAGTCTTCCTCATCTTCCATCTCATCCACACTTTCTCTCTGGTTAAAATCCTCCTTGTCCCTCTCCGTTCTCCATCTCTCCATTCCCCATAAGTCTCTCTGGAATCCAGTTATAAACCCAAGCAATAGCAATCCTCTGGCCTAGCAAGGTCACCAGGCTAGAATTCTACGAGGTCATAAAGGCAGATAAGAATTTTCCTCAGGCAATGACCACCAGGCTTTCTTTTACAGTCCAAAATGGGAGTGGTAAAAGAGGAGGTCAACTGAGTGCTGATGACCGGTTAGTGTATGAAAAGGGGTCTATGTGCTCAGTCTACATTCCAAGAAGTGGTTAGGTAAGAAGTTAGGGGGCTATTAGTAAGGTTGTATAAGAAAGGATGATCTGACCCTAAATTGCACAAGAAGCATAAAGCTATCCCCTGACCTAGGAGACAGGTGTTATTTCATTTGGCCTTGGATGCTTGATAGGCATTTTAGATAAATACACTGTTAGGAGTTATTGGAAGCACACAAGAAAATCATTTTAGGAACCAGCATGTATATGTATGTGTATATATATATATGCTAAAATATCACTAAAATTTCTTAAGCCATGGCTTGACCTTTGGAGAAGTCCTTGACTTTTCCAAGTAGTAGCTTTTGTGATAGTAGCTGAATTCCACTACGTTTTCCTGTGGCTTGCAGCACAATTGCAATTCAACAGAAAGAAAAAAGTATAGTTGATGGGCAGTTGTAAAAATTGGGGGCTCATGCCTTTAATCTCAGCTCTAGGGAGGCACAAACACTTGAAAGTATCTTAGGTTAAGAAAGAAGATTGGGGGC